ATGTTACATAGCTAAAGTTTAGAACACTAAATAATTCGCTTTTATTTGGTTCTATGTATGCGTCTGTGTTGAAACAAAATAAATGTCATAAACAATAACTAGACAGAATAAGAGGGAAAGCTCATCAATGTTGTATAATACTAGGGAGAGTGCTGGTGTGGGTGTAATCTTAATGCCTGAGCCACACCCGGCATTTTGAATGATGTTCGAGATGATAGATTAACTCATGCGAACAGATTCTACGATGATACATTGAATGGATGAATTTACAAGGTTTTCTTTTGAATTGAAAATTTCATACACGAGTCGAGACTAGGTTTAAATCTGGTGTAAAATTTGTGAGATACATACTTCAACAATATCCGAAATTTTATTACATGAAATTTATTTGAAATAAATTTAAACATATCTGACCAAGGAATGTGAGGGTGTTTGACAATAATACAATGCTCCCTACAACTACTCACCCTCTATTAAAGATAATATATCTACTGTTTTACTTCCAAGATAAGCGATAAAACAAAAACTTTAAAAATTGATGAGAATATCATTGTGTGTTTTGTATGCCGAAGTATCTTTTACGAAAGAAAAATAAATATTTTATAGAGAAGACTTTGTAATTTATATTCAAAATTTAAAAAATAAACAAATTTTCTCAGTTCATTTCTTTATTATAAAAATTATAAATTAGAAAAATTAAATTTTTATTGATTTTTGAATGAAATAAATTTTATATGATTTAATGTTACAGTGAGAAGACATCTCATCTATCGTTTTCTAATTATTTTAGAAATTAATTTAACGAAATATATGACATAATAATTTCACATTGAAAGTCTTCTTTTCTAACTAAAATAAATATTTCTCACAATTAAAAAGAAAATTTTATAGAATTGTTAATTAAATTTATTATTCGATTATACACAATAAGATAAAACAGTTTTTTCTTCTACAATCAATTAATATTATTATTGAATATTTACATATATTTCATAGTTTAGAAATACATTGATTAGAAAAACAAGAAATATTAATTTTATATAGAAATTTTATGACTATAATAAAAGATCAATTGAAAAAAAACATTTTCTAATTAGAAAATTACTCTTTGTTTTTTATTTAATCGAATAAAATTTTGTTTTCAGTGTGAAAAAATATGAAAATAAGTAAAACAGTTGTTGTTAAAAAATTTGAAGAAGTGAAGAAATTCTTTTAAATTGATTTTGTTCGACGAAAACTAAATTTAAAACAAAGAAAATTTTATTTTATTTCTAGAACAAATCTTAAGGATATGAGTGAATGTCGGTGTGTGTGTCTATGCATATAGAGAAGAAACATCAACATCTTGTTTAGAATGAACTATGTACTCCAGAAGTAGCCGTAACTTGTACTTTGATTAGAATCGGTTAAATGTCATCGAAAATCTGAATACACTATTCCGTAGCTCTCAATGAACTACAACTGGCTCACATGTGTAAGACGAATCAAAAAAATTTTCTAGCGAAAAACGATTTCATCATCTAATGGGTGAAGATTGGTTTATATCTCTGTTTGAAATTCGTCGATTTCTTTCTCTCATATAATTACTTTGCAATCAAATCTTTCAACATTAAACAGTCTTTAAAAAGAATCTAAGATCAGAATGAAAAAAAGACTATGAAGAAAAATAAAAATATATAAACAAGTAATGCTAGTATTGATAGAAGAAAAGAAAATATTCATCCATATAAAAAATAGCCTTGTTGATGTGATTTTATTCTTCTCTTTTTCTTATACTTCTCATCTAACTGATAATGCTTTCTATTATAAAGAGATCGTCATATATTCAATAAAATCGGCTATATACCTATATTGACAGTTTACTTCTATCACATGACTTCATTAACTGTTTTTTTGTCGTATTACAAAAAAATTATTTCAGAAAGACAAAAAATAATGATTCAATGTCTGTACATTCTTTTTCTTTCTTCGTCGAGAATAGGAAGAAAACAGATAAATCACATCATCATATAAAGCCACTCTACAATACACAAACGATGATGAAATAAAATAAATGGCTTGCGAAGGTTATTTTCAAGAGGAAAAATATCATACTTATATTTGCTTGTTTTTCTTTCCTTTGTATTTAGGTGCGTTTAATGAATATTTATCCAACGTTTTCTTTCGATGATGATCACATGATATATTTTCAAAGATATTGACGAAAATAGTATTATTCTTTCATTTCTTATTTGAAAGATATTCCTGGTGTTTTAATCTACTATGAGTCAATCAGCAACGACAAATTTAACTAAGTATCGTATAGATTAGATGATTCAGAGATAGAAGGACAAACTCTACGAAAGTCTCAATGAGATTAAATCAATTCTAATAAGCGTTGATGAGTGCGGGTATGAATTAATGAAAGCTCACTAACAAACATACCCTCAATCCACGACTTGTGTCCAACCATCTTATAGATATCACATCAGTTTTATCAGTGATATTTTGTTACAATAAAATTCGTTTTTTAGATTTCTTTTATAAATTTATATTCAACGACATGGCACTAGCAAATAACAAAACAAAATGTTTTACATGTAATGAAAAAAAATAACATATTGTTGTGAAGGATGTTCAAAACGATTTTGTTTAATTCATTTAACAGAACATCGTCAAATATTAAATAAAGAATTCAAACGTCTTATTAATGATTGCGAACAATTTAAACAAAGAATTAATAAACCAAAACAAAATCGACAATATCTACAAAATCAGTTAATAATAAAACAAATTGATCAATGGGAAAGAAATTCGATTGAAAAAATTAAACAAAAAGCACAAGAAAGTAGAAAATTTGTTATTGAATCATCAGAAATATTTATTAATGATATTCAAATGAAATTTAATGATTTATCTGAACAAATAAAACATATTCAAAAAGAAAATGAATTCAATGAAATTAATTTAGAATATTTAAGAAGCCAATTCATAGAAATTACAGAAGAATCAAATAATTCGTCAAATATTTCTGTAAAAGAAGATTCACAATCATTTGTTAATGAAATTTCAATTATTTCATCAAAAAGTAAGTTTTTAAAAAATTATTTATAAAAGAATAGTTTTCATTTTCATTCGTTGACTTAGTATTTTTTTCTGTTCTGCGATGAAACAAAATCTTCTTTTTATAAAAATTTTTTGTTTTCATTATTTTTCTAGGATCAAAATTCGGTAAATGGAAACAAAATGCCATCACTTTGGCTGGTGGAAATGGACAAGGACAAAAATTAATTCAACTTAATAACCCTGATGGGATCTTTTTAGATAAAAACAAAAATATTTTCATTGCTGATTGTTTTAATCATCGTATTGTTGAATGGAAATGTAATGCAAAAGAAGGACAAATCATTACAGGTGGAAATGAAAAAGGAAATCGAATGAATCAATTGAGTTATCCAACAGATGTGATTGTTGATCAACAAAGTAATTCGATCATCATTGCTGATCAAGGAAACAGACGAGTGATTCGATGGTTAAATGAAAATCAACAAAAAATTCTCTTTCACAATATTGGCTGTTATGGCTTGGCAATGGATAAATATGAATTTCTTTATGTTTCTGATCATATAAAGAATGAAGTGAGACGATGGAAAATGGGAGAATATGACAATGAAGGAATTGTAGTGGCAGGTGGAAATGGACAAGGAAATAAACTTAATCAACTGAATTTTCCTGGTTTTATCTTTGTTGATGAAGATCAATATATTTATGTATCAGATACAAACAACCATCGTGTGATGAAATGGAGAAAAGATGCAAAAGAAGGAAGAATTGTAGCTGGAGGAAATGGTGAAGGAAGAAATCTCAATCAATTGTATCGTCCTCAAGGAATAATCGTTCGTGATTTTGGTGAAATTTATGTGGCGGATTGTTGGAATCATCGAGTAGTGCGTTGGTGTGAAGGAAAAGCAGAAGGTGAAATTATTATTGGTGGAAATATTGAAGGAAATCAATCGAATCAATTGTATTGTCCCTATGGTTTATGTTTTGATGATGAAAGAAATCTTTATGTTGCTGAATCAAAAAGCCATCGAATTGAAAAATTTGAAATAATATCGTGAATGTATTTTTGATTTTGAAAAAAAAGATTTTCGAAAGGAAAATAAACTAAATATTTGAAATAAAATCGACAATTAACAATAGTTTTGTAAATGATACAAAATTCAAATTAGATTTTTAGTTTCAAAGAGTTTTAATGAAAAGAAAGAATATTTATTATCAGATTCAAACTAGTTGAAGTTGAGAAAATGATTAAATTTCATAATGAAATCAATTTTTTAAATATTTAGTCTATGCTGAGATATCTGATTCTAAACAATGCTTTTGTTTTGATGATTAAATCTGATTATGTCTTATACTCATTTATTTAGATAGTTTTTCTTTTTCAAACGATTTTCTTTTGTTGAAAAATTTATTTAAGATTTTCAATTTCTTTCATTAACAAAATGAAACTATTAAAAATGTTATTTTCAGTTTAAATTATTTTTTTTACTTATTAGTACACAAGTTGTTCAGTTACAAAAGGAGAAAAGCAAGCACAACAGAGAAAGTGAAATAATACTAGACGTATAGAAAAAACATAGAAAGCAAGTTGAAATTATTTTTCTTCATTTTTTTTATTTTGTTCCATTATGAAACACTAAAAGTCCATTTACTCAAAAATAAAAAAGTATTTTTTTGTTTTTTTTCTTCTTTTCTTCACTTGTAAGGTTTCCCCGATTTCTTTTTTAAATGAAATGTTTAGTTGGAAAAAACACACGAAACCATCTTGATGGTGAGTGTGATTATCTTTATAGATTGCGAAAGACTGGGAAGTAAACTTGATAAAATTCTTTTGCGTTCTTTATTTCGTTCTCGTGATAAAATACTCGGTCGTGTCTGTCAATGAAGCCTTCTTAAAACACACAAAATGATTCACGAAAACATGGTTTTTTTCTGATGTAACTTTTTAAAAGTCAGATATATATATAGTTGAAGAATTCAAGATTAAAACAAAAAAAGCGTTATAAAATCGATTCTCAATGGCCACTGGTGAGTTTTTTACAATCAAATTAATAGAAATCAACGTTTTGTTTTCGAATTTAGAACCGAATCAAAGTAAAGCGATGTCGGCATCAGAAGAGTTAGATGCAAAAATAGCTGAACTGAATCAAAGTTTGTAAATTTTTGTTTATAGAGAGCAGTGAGATTCAACTTCTTCAGTATTTTTAGTGATGAATAATTGTACAAATTTAATTGGAGCGATGTTTGGTATGGCGCCCGATGAGACAGATGAGATAGATGAGTCACCAGTATTGAAATCATTCGATTTGCATGGTGCTGTTGAATATATGGCAAACTGTTCGAATATCATCATCATGTCGGGTGCTGGAATGTCGACAAGTGCTGGTATTCCTGATTTTCGTACGCCTGGTACTGGTCTCTATTCTCGGCTTGAAAAGTACAATCTTCCAAATCCACAGGCAATATTTACATTGGACTTTTTTCGTGTATGTGATTAAAAACATAAATCGAATGTTTAACAGTACTGTCACACATTGATTTATATTTCTAGGAAGATCCGAAACCATTTTTCTTACTGGCCAAGGAACTTTATCCAAACAATTTTAAAGTACGTATTGATAGAAAAGTCAGCAGTCTTGACGGAATTCCGATATCCTGTTCGATCCCTTTTAGCCAACACCAGCTCATCATTTTATTCAACTGTTGAACCAAAAAGGCAAATTGCTACGAGTATTCACACAAGTAATTCTGCATTTATATAATCCATAAGTGAAATCATTTTTCCTATGTAGAACATTGACTCCTTGGAAAGAGTTGTTGGCATTCCACCGGAAAAAATCGTCGAAGCTCACGGAACATTTTTCACGAATCATTGTTTGGATTGTCAAAAAGAATATTCGTTAGATTATGTCAAAGGTTTGATCGTTTTATTGAATTCTCATAAAAATTTCTAGTTTTCTAGAGATTATTTTCAACGATGAGATACCTCACTGTGATGAATGTTCTGGTATCATTAAACCAGGTTAGTTCTAATCTAATATCTTTGTTGTCTCTATTGATTTCGATATACAGATATCGTCTTTTTTGGTGAAAATCTTCCCAAACGATACGGTGAATGTGTTTCGACCGTAAGTAAACATTTGAAAATATTGTTGAATTGTTAGAAAATCGTTGATTCTGTAACACAGGACTTTCCTCAATGTGATTTTCTAATTATTATGGGAACATCACTTCAAGTGGCACCATTCAATACACTGATAACCAGGTCAGTCATTGAAATAATTATTTTCACTTTCTTATTTATTGATTCTATCGAATGGTAGAGTCAATAAAAAATGTCCTCGCTTACTCATCAATATGGAACCTGCTGGTAATGCTGCTGTAGCATGGGAGCCAGTAAGTGACATTTTCTTGCCGACAAATAAATAGTATTTCCTATCGAATTTTCTAGTTGACAAACGTCTTGAAGTTCGATTCAGAGAAAAATTATCGTGATGTTTTTCATAAAAGCAGTTGTGATGATGGCGTCGCTGAAATGACAAAACTGCTTGGCTGGCAGGTAAATTATTCTAAGCTTAGAATTTTTAATCAAAAAGTTTGATTAACTTTTCAGAATGATTTCGAAAAATTATTGGGAAAAAAGACGGTCTCGCAAACAAGCAAAACATTACTACCGAAGAATGCCATTGCAACTCCAACGATACGTTCATCAGTAACGACGAATAACTCAAAACCTACAAAAGCTCAAACAACAGTAACCGGTACGAGCTCGGTATCGAACTGTAATAGTAATGCACGAAGAAATTCATTACCTCAGAGAGCAATACCTTCAACTAGATCGTCTTCACCTGTTAAAAGCGTCAAGAACAATAAGACAGGAAAAAAATAAAAAATTTAATACACTGGAACCGATCTGTTCTTTTTTTATTATATATTGTATTTTTACAATTATAATATTTCCTAATAAACTCATCAACTTTTTAATTTAATCGAAAAGGCCATTTGGTATAAGGCAACTTCAACATTGAGTCTACAGTACTTATACGTACTTTATGGATTGAATTAATATTTTCATTATTAGTTTTATTCAACATATATTGAGCCGGTCAAAGTAATAACGAAATCATTTCTTTCTCATATCTAATTTTTCTACGTCTTTAACGAATATAATGTGTTCATTAACAAGGGTGTGAGTGTGGGTGATAATGAACTGAACACCCACACCCACCAATAACCGCTTGCTTGACCTAAAATGGCAAGGACAGGGATAACCAATGTGCGGGGGTCATATAAGAGGAGAAAGGTCAAATGAAGGGGAAAATATAAGAAAAATTATACACAGTCAAGCTACAGAAGGGACCAGAAAACAATGGTCATATATATAACGGAACGACTGACCGTTTGCGCTTTATTATGCCGAATAAAAGAATGAAAAAGAAAATGAATATGAAAACCAAGAAAGGTGAAACATTAAGAAATGACCGACTTGTATATATATGCACGGCGGGCATGTTCGGTCAAGAATATGTAGGAGATAATGATGGATGAAATCCGTCAAAATATCTATATAAGTCGACAAGGAGGTTATTCATTTCATTTAAAAATTTATATTCAAAGGCATAGCAATGGCAAATATCAAAACACAATGTTTTACATGTGATAAGGAAAAAATAACATATCCTTGTAAAGGATGTTCAAAAGAATTTTGTTTAACACATTTAACAGAACATCAACAAATATTAAATGATCAATTAAATCATATTACCAATGAGTATAATGAATTTAAACAAAGAATTGATGAACAAAGCAAAATCCACAAAATGATTTATTATTAAAACAAATTGATCAATGGGAAACAGATTCAATTGAGATAATTCAACAAAAAGCAGAAGAATGTAGAAAAATTGCTATGGGACATTTACCAACATTCTTTAACAATATTGAAAAGAAATTTAATAATTTAAATGAACAAATAAAACAAATTCATCAAGAAAATGAATGTAATGAAATTAATTTAAATTATTTAAGAAGCCAATTCAGAGAAATTACACAAGAATTAAATAATCCACTAAAGGTTTCTATTAAAGAAGATTCACCATCATTTATTAATGAAATTTCAATTATTTTATCAAAAAGTAAGTTTCTAACAAATAATTTCTAACTGGATAATTCTCATTTTCTATGAATTTATTTTAAACAATTATAATACAAAGAAACATTGAGCATATTATTGATTTATTTATTAATCAATCAATAAGGATAGTATTCATATCAAAATAGATATAGAAATCAAACAGAGTGTCATCTTTATAGAATAAATAGAATAGTAAAAACAAAATCAAAATTAATCTTTTCTTTTTCTTTTTATCGAATTTTTTCATTTTCATTATTTTCTAGTATCAAAATTCAACAAATGGAAAGAAAATGCCATCACTGTAGCTGGTGGAAATGGACAAGGACAACAATTAAATCAACTGTATTACCCTTACGGAATCTTTATTGATGAAAAGAAAAATATTTTCATTGCTGATTGTTTGAATAACCGTATTATTGCATGGGAATGTAATGCAAATGAAGGACAAATTATTGCAGGTGGAAATAAAGAAGGAAACCGAATGAATCAACTGAATGGACCAAGAGATGTGATTGTTGATCAACAAAGTAATTCGATCATCATTGCTGATTATGATAATAGACGAGTGATTCAATGGTTGGATCAAAATCAACAAATTCTCATTGAAGATATTGACTGTTTCGGCTTGGCAATGGATAAAAATGGATTTTTGTATGTTTCTGATTGGAAGAAGAATGAAGTGAGACGATGGAAAATGGGAGAATACAATAATGAAGGAATTGTAGTAGCAGGTGAAAATGGACAAGGAAATAAATTTAATCAACTCAATTATCCTACTTTTATATTTGTTGATGAAGATCAATCTGTTTACGTATCAGACACAAACAATAATCGTGTGATGAAATGGAGAAAAGATGCAAAAGAAGGAAGAATTGTAGGTGGAGGAAATGGTGAAGGAAGAAATCTCAATCAATTGTATCGTCCTCAAGGAATAATCGTTCGTGATTTTGGTGAAATTTATGTGGCAGATTGTTGGAATGATCGAATAATGCGTTGGTGTGAAGGAAAAGAAGAAGGTGAAGTTGTTGCTGGTGGGAATGGAAAAGGAAATCAAACAAATCAATTGGATCGTCCTATGGGTTTATCTTTTGATGATGAAGAAAATCTTTATGTTGTTGATTTTTGGAATAATCGGATAGAAAAATTTGAAATAGTGTTGTAAATGAAATTTTGATGTTGAAAAAAAAGAAAAGAACTTTTTTGTTAAATAAAGATAAAAGGAATAGTCAAGTGTGGGTGTGGATGTGAATAATGAAGAAACAAAACCACACGCACCCATACCGTTACCCTCAATCAAGCTTTGTCGGAATTGTTTTGCTGTGAAGATGTCACCATTGATTAAAAACTGTCCAAGTAATACGTTTCGCATTCGGAGAAAGATAGTAAGCATGAAAAAATATATCAGTTTAAGTATATCTCTGATCAAAAAATATCTTATATCGTCTAGCATCTTGAGTATGTGAGGATGAATGAAAAAGGTATATATCCAAATATACATCCCACAATACGGACAGTATTTAAAAAATATTTAACAAGCTATATTGAGACCAGTCTGTATCAAATATCAAGCAAGCAACATTTTTTATTCATACAATAATAATCAAAACAATAACACAAGTTTTAAAAGTATATATTAACTAGGAATATTAATTTTACAACATGAATAAAGTATATTAGTTCTTGAAAATATGTCATGTCTTCGACTTTGTCAAACAGAGGTTTTGTCGTAGTATGTATATGTATAATATCGTTTCAGTCATATATCTTCCAAAATATTATAATGCAGAAGCATTTAATCTCATTATATGGATTCGTCGACGAATATATGATATGACATGTTTAAATTCTTTATTATAAATTGGTGATGGTAGAACAAATATTAAAAATAGAAATGTTGATGGTATAAATGATAGGAAATAACCGAGAAGGTAGAACCATAAAAGATGAGTTGATTTATTACATTGTAAAATAAATGAAATAATTAAATGTGGTAAGGTTAAGATTATAATAATCATTGGACTAATTAAAAGATGTTTATATTGTTTAATTTTAGCTACAAGATGTTTTTTGAAGCTAAGCTTTTTTTGACAAGCTGTTCGTTGACGAGTAGTTATTATAATAATAGTAATAGCTGAAATAAAATTAATTATTAAAGGAGCCGCATAATGAAATATAATTAATGTAAAACTATATATTTGTATAATTGATGAATAAGTAATTACACACCAATTTCGTTCTTCAGTTTTATCAGTAAAAACATGAAGTTCAATTATTTGTGGAACATAAGCAGCAAAATTGAGAAGAATTACCATTATAATAACATATTTAGCAATTTTTACGCTTTTCTGTTTGTCAAAACTAACTCCATGTTGTACAGAAATAATTCGTTCAATCGCTACACAAGTATGAAGCCATTTATCTATATATAGCATTATTTTTAGAAGTGGTTCAACAACTCGACAATTTAAAAGAAGAATATTTTGTAAACCACGTTGTTCTAAAATCGATTGGTAAGAGAGGAACAGCAACCAAAATTTCAATGTAAATAATATCATAATTGCTAATGAAGTAATTGACGCAGTGAGAAGATAAATGCCACAACCAACCTTTTGCGATGTTTGTCTTGCAAAAACGATTATTGATAAAATACAGTTGATGATACCTGTGAGAAATATTATCATTGTAATAGTAGCACTGACTATTACTGTGATTGGTTGTTTAGATAATATTGTATTGCGTTTTAATTCGTAACCCAATATTTCATCTAATGTTGAGCCAAGAGCTTTTGCATAAAACTGGCATTCATCTCCAAAGAAACAGGCTGGACATATACAAATTCTTGTAGATGGACAGATTGGATGATCTTGGACACATTGTGCTCCATTTGCACAATGTTTTGTCAATGAACATTGAAAGTTTCTATCACGTTTGAATTCCATACAATTAGCATGATGATCATTTGTGCACAAACACAAATAGGCGGGATCGATGAAACACATCAGATCAGTATGTGTATGACAAAGAATATGGAAGAATATTATTCGTCGATACTGAACCATTTTCATTACTGTAGAATTCAGTAATTGCTCAGCAGGAATACACTCCTGTGAAGGACGAATTACTGTTGAGATATTTGTATATAGTGATTGTTGAAGTACAGCAAGATAATATTTGTTACTGGATTGAATAATTGCCATATGAAATGGTACTGAAATGTGAAAAGTAGCAGTGTCCTGAAAGAGGGTCAATTTTCGAAGTATAATTGCCTGCAGCGGGTCAGACTTATTGGAGAGTGTGAAGAAGTAAGCCGCAATATACGATGGAATATGCATATCAATTAGAGAAACATCGAGATTCACCTTAGCATATTGACAATTTATACCAAAAAATTGATCAGGACAAACACAAGTATAACTGCTGTCAGGAGTAGTCACATCAGCCGGTATATATTGTCCATTATTTTGACAAATATTAGCTGGATATGCTGATGTAAACATACATTGTGAGCCAAACTTATGTAATGGACATACGCATATTGATTGATTGTTTACTAATCCCAAATAAAATGAATCGTGTGAACACATTTGACGATTTATTGGGATATTACATTGAATGCCTGTCCATTGAGAGTGGCATCGACAGAAATACTTTTCTTTATTTAAGTATTTAACGCAAGTACCATTGTTGCAAGTCATCAAGCAATTGGATGAAGTCTGAATAATATGATTCGATAAAATCAACGAAATAGCTACTCGATTGACAGGTAAAAAGAGAAATGTAATGGGAAAGTGCCAACTTCCAACATACGTTATTCTGTTTTTTTCGAATGCATCGATACGTATGCTGTAGTTCTTAGACAAGTCTTTTGGCCGTGTAGGGAATAATAAATATCGATCGAATTTAGTACTACAACTTTCCTTTGTTATGTATACAAATTGATCGTATGCGTTAATTTCTTGTTGTTCATCATTATCATCGATTAACATAATAATAATCGCATAAGTAGCATGCCTATCAACTGAACTCATATGTAATGTAAGGCTAATCCGTTGATTTTGATATTGACATAAATGACCATAGTAACTCGGTGGACACATGCATATTTTGTCAAAGCTATTGCTTGTGATCCAAGTATTAACAGTGAGTCCACGATTGCAATACCATAGCCATATATTAATGTCACTGTGATGTATATTGACATTCCCGATAGAATGTTGTTCTGTTAACCAATACAAACTTTCATCGACGACACCATTTTCTAACGAAGGGTAGTTAGATGATGTATGAACAGAAAAATACTGTCTTCTTCGATTTTTCTGTTCACTCAGTCCACAAAGAACCTCTTCTATTTCACTACGATTGTATGTTGAATCGTTGGTACAGTTGAACTGATGAGTTTTGCAGAATTTTTCATCATCATGAAGTGAACAATCATTATTGTTGTTGCATAATTCTGATGGTACCAAGCATTTTGTATCTCTGAAGCAGCGAAAGCGCTCAGGAACTTCGCTCGGAGGATAGATCCTTTGACACTCGTGCTGTTCGTCGGATGCGCCAAGACAATCATCGTTTCCATCATTAACACGTGTGTGAGGCAAGCAGATTACTGTAAAATTAAGAGGATCTACACAGGCGTGAGTTCCTAAATGACATTTTGTTCGACTACATTTGTCCTCATCTCGTCCGTCGGCACATGCCCAAAAACCGTCGCAACGTGCATATATATTGTTACATAACCACTCTTTACACTCGAATTCATCATTATAATCTTGTCCAAAATTATCATAGTAAATAGATTGATTGATACCATTGCAAAAACGTTGAAATGGAATATTATCGTCTCGTCCGGTCATTGAACAGGCATCCTCTTTCAATATAGGGGACCAGCACGTATCTGTATTATGACATCTCACCCGATATTGATGGCTAAGTTGACAACTGTTTCGATAGGTCTCATCATCAGCATGGAAACAATCTTGTATACCATCCATGATGCGATGTACAGAAATAAATTTTGATGAGTTGTGACAGTTATATAATAACGAATGATTCGCATATTTTTTTGTTTTATTGGGTGAGATCCCATGAGAAATCAAGCAAGGACGAAAAACTTGTTCGATCAACCATATCAGTTCGTTCCAAGATCCGATTTCAATATCCAGTTTTGGTATTATTTTCGACATATTTATACAAGTGAGATTTTGACGGATTAACTCAGGCTTAATACAATCACATAACTGTTGATTGTAGCAAAGATAATCAGGTAGAAAAAACTCATCCATTTTCTGTCTTAAATAAGGCTCTTTATAAAAGAAACGAATATGATCAGAATGAACTGGAATAGTTGGAAATTGGAAAAACGAATCACATTGTTTAAGGAACTCGTAGATTGATTCGTTCACCAGCCATATTTTCCATGAATTTCCATGAATTTGCTCGACGAGTCGAGTAAGACAAATCATAGCAATCCAACATTCGTCTGATAGATTACCGTTGGCTGTCATCGACTCTATCAGTAACCTATGTCGTCCATTATAACATTCATCAAATTTGTTGACACATTGGCCATCTCCACAGGGAAATGTACCCTTGTGCGCTCTGCAAGAATGTTCTTCACAACGGAATGTTGGATCTTGGAAACATGATCTTATATAGAAGGCATTCGACACTTCATCGGAACGATCGAGGCAGTCTGCATCGCCTTCACCCTCTTCCCAGAGTTCGCTTGATATACATAATCCATTGTGGCATCGATATTCATTTTTCTCACATTCATTTATTTCCATATCGAAACAATATTCTTCATCGAGACCTTCATCAAAACAATCAACGATTCCGTTACACACTTCACGCCAATCAAGACACCAACTCTGCCCATTACGATGGCATTCTAGAAAAACATAGCATGGCATCTGTACTGTCACTTCAGATGACTCGGAAAATGCTGTCCTTTGACGAAAAGCTTCTTCAACAATTTGGTTGAAAGATCTACGGCCGCCGAAAGGAAACGAATATTGGCATCGAGGGCCAAACCACGGTTCAGTGCAATTGTAGAGAACTTCATTAAATGCAGCATTCGGTTCAATTAAATAGAGTTCATATCGCTGAGCTACATCAATTGAAATTGACCACGAGAGAAGTTGTTCTGAAGTAGTATGAGCCAGACGTAATTCTTCGAAACTTAGTTTTTGAGAAAGCGGATGAACAGAGGTTTCGGATGATTCTTCGAAATAGTTTACTGGGCGAAAACAGTACGGAATGACTTCATCAACCATATCTAATAATTTAGAATAAGCTGGTTTTTCACGATGAACATGATAATTCAAACAATGATATTGTAGCGAATTGCTATTAATTGCTTCATTAGTATGGTATAAATTCAATTGACAAGTAGTAGTTGTCCATTGAATTAAAATTATTAGAAGAAGCTGAAAAATTATTTTACCTTTGTTTAATGAACTTGTGTCCATTATCGACCGCTTTTATTTATATATTTACTAGTCGTAAGAGTAGAGACTGTCTATAGTCCAGAGAAACAAAAAGTTATATATTGTTAGTGAGAGAAAAACTTTTTCTGATGTGAATGTGAATGAACAATTACTGTCGTTGATACACTTGTCTACTAGCAAATAAAAAACGTTAGAAAGAGAATAAAACCATGTTCAAACATCTAATAAACGTGCTAAAACGATAATGTTAGTTTCATGATAGTATATAGTTACACATGTTAGAGAAAAAAATCAACATCAATTTAGTAATACTCTCTATATTGGCACTTCATGCTTTGCTGCAAATTTGTAGAATAATGATCATATAACCATAATGTAAAGTCTGCCAAACAAGGAAAAATATACTCTATCCTGATACCAAACGATATATCAAAATAAAGTGTAACCTGATCTGTTGTGTTGCTGTCGTTTCCAGAATAAACTATTGAGAATCTCATAGTGAGTTTTGGGTGTAGCTGACGGTGTAAGTGTGGGTGTGCGTATGGGTGAGTATGGGTGTGAGTATGGATGTGGGTGTGTGTGGGTGTGGGTGTGGGTGGCTGTGGGTGAGGGTGTGGGTGTTTTACTCCTCTTTTATCCACAGTCTTATCCGCACTCTCACCCTCAAGCAGATGGCCCAGAGTAAACGACTGTGCTTTTTATTTCACATTCTGGTCTCTGAAAACGCTTTGTTAGAAAACAAAATACACCGCAAGATTCAGGATGAAAAGCTCTACAAACCTTATCATAAAGTTTATTTCAATTGTGTACCTTTGTTTTCGAAAAAGTTAAAAATATGTGAGATCAATTGTAGAGGTAGGTTGTGATAGAATTTGTTTACTAATAAAATGTTTCCAGAGATTAGAATAAGAGATGCGAAGTGCGATGATTTATTCTGAGTTACCCGTTACTTTCTATGGAAAGCGAATCGTCACCAAAGGGTTAACTTGAGTAGTTATTATGTAAAACTAGTTCGGTATCAATGTCTATCGACAGTATTGTTTTGTCACTTTTTATACGCTTTACTAAGTTCATATTTGTCATTCTTCTCAATTTTATACATTCAAATCTATTGTAAGAAAATTTCAATGGATTTTGCATTTCATTTTATATATTGCTTGCAATAACGAACAGAAAAATTCTGCTTTAATATGAAATTCTAAATCATGCACAATGTCAAACATCTAGAGTAGATATAAAGTGTAGTTTCGACAACAAACCTCACTACTTTATCGGCTCTCTTTCGGTAATGTAGATAATTTTAATATCGAGGTTCACCGAACAAGAGAAATCGAAAATATAATATTTTCATGAGTTTTATATTTAACTTTATTGTAAAATGATATTCACTTGTTTTTTCATCAAATATAGAGCACGATAACTCATCAATCTGTTCGTTTTCTGGCTGACTATGCTATCAAAATACGATTGAAAAGTTCGATTCTGTTGAAAGCAATCCAGATGACTTCAACTTCAGATAAGGTTCATAAACTGCAATATTGTCGTTATCTGTATAGATATAGCACACGAGTCGATTCATCTTTCAATGTATCTATATATGTTTATTTCAGTCGGATGTTTAGTTTTATTAATTGATAAAAGAAAATTCACTCAAATATATCTTAAAAATTCTTGAATAAATATCACTGATGGAGTTGCATGGTGTATACTGATCAATTGCGACATTGACATTGTAATCGACCATTATATAATCGACAAAAACCTTTTCTGTAACCGCGATCTTGACAGTGCTTTCTACATCGAGCTTCGTCTTTAAGTGAGCCGTCACAATAGAAATGACGAACGTCGCCATTCAATGCAGTTTCATTTGCAAGCATCACTGAAAAATAAAAAATCGTTTAATGATTGATTACTCTCTCTAAACATAATCACTTGGGTTTTCACGGAGCTCATTCATCGCTTGAGCTACGAGCAACACAACAAAGAAGAGTAAAATGGATATTACTTTCATCGAAGTCATATTATCTATATACATCATATGATCATACTTATCTAAAATCTCTTACTTATACACTTACCTAAATATATATCTATAAGATTGATTTATGAATACTAATGGTAGCAGAAGATATATATATAGAAGGAGAGACATCGTTGTGTTGTCAAATGGGAATGGGAAAGTGGCCAGCAGGTGACAAGTAAGAGGGTGAATTATTACTTTTTTCGAAGCAAAGCCTATGGATTCGCAATGAAACTAGGGTGTGGGTGTGGGTTAGGGTGTTTTACTCCTTTTTTATCCACAGTCATATTCGAATCCACATCTATACCCACAACCTTGTTGGCTACAGGATGTATTGAGGGTGTGGGTCTGAGTGTTATTTTAGGTAAGAGAAGAGTAAAACACCCACACAACTAACACCCAAGTCAACCAACACGGTATGGAAACAGTTGGTTTTGAGCCTTTCCGAAGTTTTCATGTTGGTAGAAACCCGAGTCGGAATTTCTAGAGTGTGGGTGGGTGTGAATATCGCGGTGGATACAAAACGGGCGGAACACTGACACCCATATCAACATCTAGCGATTTCATAGTGCTGTAACACCAATATTGCCACCGTCCTTATAATAAAAACACATGCAATTTTCTCACAAGCAACGATTCAATATTCATATCTTTCTTACTGTTTTTGTAGTTGAAAGCGATGCCAAAATACGAATAAACTGTGTGAAAAAAAGCATCGTATTTCATATCTATTTTAAGAGATAAAATCTTGCTGTGTTAAGCATAGATATGTTGGTATTTTTCTTGTTAATTTTAGTCAAACGACAAAGCAAGTAATCAGGGGTGGCGCAAGTCAGCCAATATTGAAGCAGTGTAACAAAAGCTTTTGAAGTAAAGAGATGAATTTCGCGATTTTTTTAGGGGTGTAGCATTATCTTTCTCAAAAACCTAAGAAGATTTGCAAGTTTCGAGGGTGGGTGTGGGTGATTGGGTGATTGTGTGTGTGTGCTTATTGTGTCTGTTATACCCACACCTACATCTTCTTCCTCATCTTCAAGTAATAAAATTATTTACGAAAGAGTATAAATCTCCAGTTGATCGGCGTAGGCATACGTCACAATGAGCATTTAATATTCATCAAATCAAATAGAGCAAAAGTAATAAAAACTAATAAATAACATATTCTCATACAAAAAGGTAATGTCATCAGAAACATCATCATTCGTTAATCTATGATCTTTGCTATTATTTCAAATAGAGAAATTATTTTATCTTTATTTTAACAAATAAACATACATAGAATCGTTATATTTCCAAAAAAAAAGAATAAAAAAAGATTTCTTTCTATAGTAGATAATGAGATAAATCCTTAGTATATATATTAATCGATATTCTTTCTTATCACTACCCTCACATCGTCATGTAATATTATAAAAAATATATGAAAACTTTTTCAGATACTTTGTTCGTATCTATGATATCTGACTTTTTTTGTAAGTTACATAGAAAAAACCTAAAGAAGCAACATTTCCTAGAAAATAAATTTCTTTATTTTATAAAAATAAAGAGTTTTTATATTTATTCTTTCTTATAAAGAATAATAAAAATAATGAAATATCTGAAATTCCAATCAGATTAGACAAGTAAGAATCGACTAACAATACATGATTGATGTTTTTTCATTAAATAGCCTGTTATAAGTTATTGTAAGTAATTGATCAACTTCTTTTTATCTCTCTTTGAACACAGACATACCTGCTTTTTTTGTTGTTGATGATGAGTTTTTTGTTGTTGTGGATCCTGGATCTGCTGTTGTTGTTATTGTTGATGCTTTTACTGTTGTTAACAGCAATGTTGTTGACCCTTTTGATGTTGTCATCATTATTGTTGTTAAATTTGTTTCAACAACGTTTTCCTTTTTCGTGAGAATAATAGCTCTTACAATAGTAATGATCGCTATTATCATAATAATAAATATGATCCACGTCAATTTACTTCGAATGCACACACATCTAAAATAATTTTCTTTTTAATTTATTCAAGCTCAGAATATACGTACAGTCTTGTCGATTCTGCAAGTTGTATTTTATCTATATCACTGTTAACTGACTGAGTCTACAAAGTAAAGAAAAAAAACAAGTTATTTTTTGTTTTTCCTGTAATAAATTATATCACAAACACGTATTGTATTTTGTTTCTCCATTCGTAAAGCTTCGTCAAAGTTTTGTAATTTTATGAAAAGAAATCTGAAAAAATTCGAAAAAAGATGATATAAAAAGTTTTCATTGCATAGAGTTTCTCTCTTATAAGATAGAATCACTTCGATATCACATAAAAACTATCTGGAACAATAAAGATTAACCCAGTGAAAAATAATCATTAAATAGAAGGGTATAGAGTACGTTCCAAAAATAAAATCAGCTTTTTTTAAGAGAAAAAGCGTTCAACAAAATTTTGAACGTGTTCCAAAATGCAACGGTCAAGAATACATTCCGCTGTTTCCGGAACGCTTTTCTGATAATTATCATCTACATTCTCTACCATAATCCTCAAAGAGAAAGATGTACACGATTCGTCGAGAGACCTCTTCCAATGTAACTATACGAGCTCTATCCAATGATATGCTCAGATTTTCCATAACATAAACTATACAAACTATGACACGGGACATTTTTTTTGAAAATCAGTTTTGTTAGTTGGGAAGTACAATTTATTGAATGTTCCGCCATTTTTTATGTTAATTTTAACATATCGTAATCCTGTACAGGCAGTTTTGAACTAAAACTGACGTTAAATTTAGATGAAAGTGTTCCACAATTTAGAGAACGGCGACATATCCCTTCTACTCTTTCTAGGAATAATATCAGATTGTCGGGAATGCGTTCATCGGCTTAAAGAATTCGTTCTCTAGATGTCCCTGTCTTGAACGTCAAAGAACGCGATCTTATTTTGATAAAATGCTATCTGACCGTTCCAAAACAGAACGGCAAAAGATAGGTTCTTCTAAACTCAGAAAGATTCT